AAACCCTTATTTGAAAAAAAAAAAAAATATATATATATATATATATATATATATATATATATATATATATGTAAATATTTTATTTGTAAAAACTGGGAAAGCAAAAGCTGATTGATTATATATGGGAAACCAAAAGTTAAACTTTGAAAGAATATCTTATTTTAAGATGACTCTGTGCAGATCATTTACTCTGTGGTAAATAGTAAGAGTTTGTATTTGGTTCTGTTGTGGAAGGCTGGTTAATAAATAGAGTTTTCTTAGAAAGTCCAGAGATAGCAAGTTTTAATCAACCTCTTTGTCCCCAACTTTACCCAATACTCCATTCATTGCACTAGCTACAGAAAACTATTCATTGTTTTCCTATAGGTGTCAAGGAATGCTAGTGGGGGGGGGGTGGTCCTGTGAGCTCTCGTAGATGAGGGGTTGAGAGCCACAGCTCTCAACCTTCCCGATGCTGCAACACTTTAATACAGTTCCTCATGTTGTGATGACTCCAGCCATAGAATTATTCCATTGCTTCTTCATAACTGTAATTTTGCTAGTTATGAATCATATTGTAAATATCTGATGTGTGACCCCATAGGGTCATGACCCACAGATTAGAGAGGGCAATCTTGTCCTTGTGGCTTAGAGAGAGAGTAGTTTTGTTTTTGTTGGCTGACTAATTGGTTTGGTTGATTCATTTTGAGTTTTTAGACAGTATATCTGTGTCAGTCAGGCTGGTCTCAGACCTGCAGCCATCTTCCTGTCTGCCTCATGAGTGCTGAGGCATTCTTTGCAATGCTAAGCTTAAACAGATTTTTATTGTCAGCACCAGTAATTATATCACTGATCAAAGTCCCGGTGGATTATGTGAATATTTTTGAACCTGAAATACAGTAGTGATGAAGATGATGATGGTAGTGGTGGTGATGATGATAAACAAGGTGAGCTGATACAAAGAATAAATTCTTGATTTCCTAAATTCTTAATATGGGAAAGTGGCTATTATCTAATTCAATAATGTAGTAGAATAGTAAAGATTCAAATATGAATTCCTTCCCATGTCATAAACATTTTTATCTACTCTCACTGAGGATGACTTTGAACTTGTGATCTCCTACCTCTCCCACACAAGTGCTATCTAGGCATGTACCACCATGTTTGGTTATTCCTGATCCTCCCTGCTGTCCTCACTCTTAGAGGAAATAAAAGAATATTAAATGAAAGAATGTATGTAAGTGCCAAAAACTTTAAGCTAGAGGAGGACTATAATTTGGCGTCTTGTCTATGCTATTGTATATTGTCATGCAGTATCATTTGGCAATTGTGCCCTGTTGAATTCTTCTGGAATTATTAACCAGATAGTCTGTAAAAAAGCAGATTACAATATTAGTGCACCTAAGATTAGAAAATAGAAGGTGTTTATTGCTTCTGGTTTTTTGTTTGTTTGTCTTCAACTTGACACAAGCTAGAGTTATTTGGGAAGAGGAACCTTAATTGAGAAAATGCCTCCATTGGATTGCTTGTAGGCAAGTCTATAGGACAATTTTTTTGATGGTTGATAGGGGTGAGCCCATTAACATGGGGACAGTACCAGTCCTGAACAGGTGGTCCTGAAAGCATGCTAAATCCAGGCAGTGGTGGTGGTGGCGCACGCCTTTAATCACAGCACTCAGGAAGCAGAGGCATGCAGATCTCTCTTAGTTTGAGACCAGCCTGGTCTACAAGAGCTAGTTCCAGGACAGAATCCAAAGCTACACAGAGAAATCCTGTCTCAAAAAACCGAAAGAAAGAAAGCAGGCTGAGCAAGACATAGGAAACAATCCGGTAAGCAGCACTCCATGTCGTCTGCCTCAGTTCCTGCCCTGACTTCCCTAGTGATGAATGTGATCTGAGAGTCATAAGCTGAAATGAACCCTTTCCTCCTCAGTTTGCTGTTGGTATGGTGTTTAGCATAGCAATAATAAGCCTAACTAATACAGATTTCCATTATAAATAGGTAGTGCTGTTTTAAAATGTTAAATGTGCCTGTAATTTAGGCACTGGTCTTTATTTTCATGTTCATTCAGTCATTCATTATGCTGGAGGGCACAAGTATGCCACAGAATGTATCTGGATGTCAGAAAATGACTTGGGCCAGGCGGTGGTGGCACATGCCTTTAATCCCAGCAGAGGCAGGCGGATCTCTGAGTTCAAGGCCAGGCAGGTCTACAGAACGAGTTCCAGGACAGCCAGGACTACCCAGAGAAACCCTGGGGGGGGGGGGGGGGGGGGGGGGGGGGGGGGGGGGGGGGGGGGGGGAGGAGGGAGAGGAGAGAGAGAGAAGATGACTTGCAGGAGTCAGTTCTCTCCTTCCTACATGGGTTCTGGGGGTCCAGCTCAGATTGTCAGGCATGTGGGTAAGGACCCTTACCCATTGAGCCATAGTAACAACTCCCATCTATGACTGAGAAATGACCCAATCCCTCAAAGACAACTATGAGTAACCAAAGGATTCAGTCACTCGACTAATGACAGTTATTTTCTGTTACTTATATGTATCCTTGGCTAGCCTACTGGAGCTTTCTATGTAGACCAGACTAGACTAGAACTCATAACATAGCCAAGCATGACCTCAAACTCTTGAGTTCACTGCCTCCACTTTCCAAGTGTTGAGATTACAGATGTGTACCATGAACCTAGTTTATGTGATACTAGATCAAACCCAGGACTTCATACATACTTGGCAAACACTTTACCAACTGAGCCGTGCCCCCATCCAAGTTCATATCCTTTTTGGTTTTCCAAGACAGGCTTTCTCTGTATTGCTTTGAAGCCTGTCCTGGAATTCACTCTGTAGACCAAGCTGATCTCAAACTCACAGAGATCCTCCTGCCTCTGCCTCCTGAGTGCTAGGATTAAAGGCATGTGCCACCACTGCATGGTATTCATATACTTTTTAATAACTGTAATAAACTATTCCATCTTGAAGATACCCTGGGATTTAGTTAATAGGGCTTTAGCTTGTTTTAAGTATTTTCTATTAATACAGCACTTAACATCTGTGTAAATAAATTGTTTCATAAATTCCTGATTATTTCTTTAGGAACATGATAGAAAATGAGGTTCATTTCATTCTATCATGTTCCTAAATGTTCTTTAGGAACATGATAGAAAATTTACGTATTTTTAAAGTATAGTGATAGATAAATACTAGCACTGCTATATTAAGATAATAATGGTTCAAACAAAAAAGATAGTAACTTTATATTAACATTCTGGCCAGGCAGTGGTGGCGCATGCCTTTAGTCCCAGCACTCGGAAGATAGAGGCAGGTGGATCCCTGTGAGTTTGAGACCAGTGTGGTCTACAAGAGCTAGTTCCAGGACAGCCTCCAAAGCCACAGAGAAACCCTGTCTTGAAAAACAAAACAAAACAAAAAAACCATTCTGGCTGTAAGCCATACATAGTGGTGTGTGCCTGTAGTCTTAGCTTCCAGGAGGCTGAGGCAGGAGGAGTTCCAGACCATCCTGGACTATATAGGGGAGACTTTGTTTCAGACAAACAAAAATGACAGCTAAAAGATTGTTAGTTCAGTTCTATATGCTTTCTTACTTCTGCCTTCAGGAGATGGTGGAAACTGATCGCCAGGAAGAATACATATAACCGTTTGAGCTGAGGACTGTTCTAATCCTGCAAGATTTTTTTTAATCAGTTTTCATTAAAATAAAATAGTATATGTTGTAGACTCTATGAATCATGTGGCTTTGTTATGTTTTCATAAAAATGAAATTGTCTATTTTTATTTTTCTTTAGCCACATAAAGAAGATCCCTAGCAGCTATTTCTCAACAATTATATAGTCAACTGATGTAACAATGGTACTAATATTGGGACGCAGACTAAACAGAGAGGATCTTGGGGTGCGTGATTCCCCAGCAACTAAGCGTAAAGTTTTTGAAATGGACCCCAAATCTCTGACAGGTCATGAGTATTTTGACTTCTCTTCAGGATCATCCCATGCTGAAAACATACTCCAGATATTTAACGAGTTCCGAGACAGCCGCTTATTCACAGATGTCATCATCTGTGTGGAAGGAAAAGAGTTTCCTTGTCATCGAGCTGTCCTCTCAGCATGTAGCAGCTACTTCAGAGCCATGTTCTGTAACGACCACAGGGAGAGCCGAGAAATGCTGGTGGAGATCAACGGCATTTTAGCTGAAGCTATGGAATGTTTTTTGCAGTATGTATATACTGGCAAGGTGAAGATCACAACAGAGAATGTCCAGTACCTCTTTGAGACATCCAGCCTCTTTCAGATTAGTGTTCTCCGTGATGCGTGTGCCAAGTTCTTAGAGGAGCAGCTTGACCCTTGCAATTGTCTAGGAATCCAGCGCTTTGCCGACACTCACTCGCTCAAAACACTCTTCACAAAATGCAAGACCTTTGCGTTACAGACTTTTGAGGATGTGTCCCAGCATGAAGAATTTCTTGAGCTTGACAAAGATGAACTTATTGACTATATCTGCAGCGATGAACTTGTTATAGGGAAAGAGGAGATGGTGTTTGAGGCCGTCATGCGCTGGGTTTACCGAGCTGTTGATCTGCGTAGGCCTCTGTTGCATGAGCTCCTGACGCACGTCAGGCTTCCTCTCTTGCATCCCAACTACTTTGTTCAGACAGTTGAGGTGGACCAGTTGATCCAGAATTCCCCCGAGTGTTACCAGTTGCTGCATGAAGCAAGACGGTACCACATACTTGGCAATGAAATGATGTCCCCCAGGACTAGACCACGCAGGTGAGAAGTCGCCATACAGATGCTGCTAACGAAAATTTTGGTTTTAGAAATTTATTTTAAACTTCTGAGCTCATTTAAATGTTTAGTTTATGTGAGTCTTAGGCAGTTGAAGGTCTGTTTGGAGGCTTGGAGCCTACATGACTGGGTGTGGAGACACACACCTGTAATCAGTACACAGAGACTGGCAGATCCAGAGTTAAGGTTATCTTTGGGTATGTGTGTAAAACCTACTTTCAGATCTGTGCTTAATGGCATCTCAAATTTCAGTGATTTTTTTTTTTTTTTTTTTTTTTTTTTTTTTTTTTTTTTTTTGGTATTTTTGTTTTTGAGAGCACACATTACGGAGCCCAGGCTGGACTTACACTCTCTTTGTAGACTGGCATTGAACTCCTGATCTTCCTACTTCTGCCTCCAAGTGCTAGGGTTACTGGCATATGTCCCATGCCCAGCTCAGGTGCTTTGTCTGAATTTGAAAATTACATCCACATTGAAGAATAATTAGTAAGCTTATGTTTGGAGTGAAATGTGACCATCAGTGTTATACATGTTAATTTATAGATACCTATAGACTTTTAAGTCCTTTTGCCCACAGAGCAAGTGCTCTATCTTCTAAGCCATCTCCCTGGCCCTGTTTTCTAGGACTTTTAAGGAAACCAGCTTATTTCTTACAGTGAAAAGTTTATGTCTGGTTGCAGTATCAACCCGTTTGGAAACCAGCATGAAGAACTAAAGTAGAATTCTGCTAAGTTTGAAGCTGTTGTTAATGCAGTAGCCGGTACTTATCCTGCATAGACATTCCTTGATCCTTGATGCTTTCTTTACAAGTCTGTTATCAACCCCTGCTCTTGCCTGCTACTGTATTGTTTCATTAATTACTAGAAGCTATCCAAACATTACATAATATTTTGTATAGATTTTTATCCTTTCCATTCTCTACTACTTAACTCCAGTCCCCTCCTATGACTTGAGCTTCTGTCTTCAGTCACGACTGAAACTCCTCTAATCGAGTCATAGGTGACCTTGTTTTGTCTGTTAGTCTCCTTTCAATCTGGAGCCAGGGTGATGTCTTTCCAGGATGTTGTGTTGATTCTGATGCTGGGGACAGAGTTCATGGCCTTGTAGTACGCCATGAACTACCACTGAGTGCTCTACCACTGAGCCACACCCTCAGACCTGGGAGCTGACGTTAACTGCCATATCTGCCTGAAACTCCATTGGCTTATGGAATTCCATTGTCCTCCTGAGCTGCCTGTTCGGCAGTTGTTCTTTCCAGTTGATGGTCCTGATTCCTGTGTCTGCTCTGTAGTGTTACCTGTTTAGTTTGCATCCTTTTGTCTGCTGCACATACTTTCCTGGGTGACTCCATCTCATCATACCCTGAGCTGCACACTGCCAGCTCTGACCCTGAATCCTGAGCACATATTTTCTCACTTACTCATTCATATTTCTTTTAATGTTTTGAATAATTTTTACCTAGCTCTTTTGCTTTATATGATTTATATAATTAATTTATATATGTGTGTGTGTAATATATATATATTTATTTATTACTTGATTGTGTATGTCTTTTAGAATACCGTAAGCAAAATAACTTTTACAATTAAAGGTAACAGTTCATATTGGCTAAATTCTAATCTATATATAAATTGTCTTTTAATATACCTGGATTCAGAATCTCCCATTATACCTGGTTATATCTAAGAAGTTTCTTTTATTACAAAACTGCTTTTTCATGTTTCTAACTTGATAGAAAACTTTCTATAGCCCACCTTCTAGATTCTTCTCATTATGACCTCCTTTAAATGTATTTAGCTATGTATATTTCCCAGAAAGTGCTAACTGGCTCTACATACTTCAGCTTGACAGATAGTTAAATATTTGAGACTAGAATTCATCCTATGTGATGTGTACATTACATTGCTTATTAAAAGGGCCTCATACATATTATGTCATCTTCCCAGCTATCATTCCATAATAGTAATAGGAAACTCTTAGTCCTAGGAACTGCTCTGTGTACCATAATTCGTATTAATTCATTTAAGTTTCAGAATAGCCATGAGTTAGTATTATTAAACACATTTTACAGATCCCAGAGTCAGAGAAGTAACTTGTTCAAGATCACAGTTTAGTCAGTGACTTCTACTCGTACACATACTGCCTCCTTAGTAACGTTTAAATTTGAGTATTTCAAAGATATACTGTACTTTATACGACTTTATTGAATACTCTTTGTTTTTGAGACAAGGTGTCATAAATCCCAGGCTGGTCTCCCAACTCTCTAACATGCTGAGGCTGACCCTGAACTGCTGACCATGCTTTCAGTTACTCAGTCCTGGGATTTAGTCCTGGGCCTTCATACCAGCTGTTTTCTATTGCTTTCATTCAGTGCCCCATAGCATTCCTAGTTTCCTCTTTTCTGTAAGTACTCAATGCAGATAGGAAACATGAAAGGTTTTTTTGTTGTTGTTTTACATTGCTGCATTATGGGGGTTGAACCTCTGAACCATTTCTCTAATCCTTCCAGGAGGCAAATTTAATATTTGTGCAGAAAACATATTAACACCTGCATAAGGATGCATACCTGTAATCCTATTCTCAGGTGACTGAGGCAGGAGGATTGCTTTGAGTTTGAGACCAGCCTGAGCTATATAAATGAGTACCAGCCAGCTAGGAATACATAGCAAGACCTGTGTGAGACAAAAAGGAAAAGGGGAGGGGGACTATACAAGTTTGGGCTTGAAA